GTAGATTTCTCTTTACATTTAAGATGTGCTATATTATTTTCTCCCCTTTTCTTCTATTCTAAAAACCTAAAAGGGCAGATATGAAATATTTTCTTATCTTTTTCTATAAGAACTTTTTGAGATATAATTCACATACCATACAATTCACCCATTTAAAGTATACAATTCAGTGGTTTTTAGTATATTCACAGAGTCATCATAATCAATTTTACAATTTTTTTATCGCTTCAGAAAGAAACTCCATATCCATTAGCAGTCATCCCCTATTTCCCCCCAACTCCCACAGCTCGGGAACCACTAAATCTACTTTCTCTCTATAGATTTGCCCACTCTGGACATTTCATGTAAATGGAATCACACAATATGTGGGTGTTTTGTGTTTCTTACAGTTTTTTGGCAGAAATAGCTGAGAGGTTTGAGTGAGTAGGTGGTTTTCCAGGTTGATGTGGTTGTTTGGGGAGGTAGGTTGTTATCTGCCCAGCGGAATGAGGCAGGTCAGTTTTGAGGTGGGGATGGCTTAGCAGGTTTGTGGAATAGAGCCAGTCAGCAAAGACATTTAGACTTAGACTGTCTTTCCTACAATGCAAAAGCACTGTGTAAAGTGACACTACACCTAAACTACTTTTACTGCTGAAGGTCTGTAGAATCACCAAGCAGCCTGCGGAGGGGTCATCTTCAAGTCAATGCTGGACAGAATACTTTTCTGGCTTTGTAATGAAAGTCTTTCAGGGGATAAAAGCAACAGTTATTTTACAAAGTTGACTGTCTCTTTTTTGTTACATAAACTACTTGTAGTAATATTTTTTCAGTTGGTTAATTTGCCTATATCCTATGCTTTGCTCCTAAACACAGATCAGAGTGCTTTCATGAACTCTTGCCAGTTTGGGTTCACCTTTACCGTCTATGTATCTTATCTGTTATACCACATCTTGAAACGCATAGTCATTTTCCTGCGATCAGGGCAGGAGCAGGTATCTCTTACGCAATCATTCGGTTCTTATTGCCAAAGGGATTGATGTGTCATGTTTCCTTGAAGCCTCTGCTGACCCAGAAATTACCCCATTTTCAAATTACAAAGGAATTATCAAGTTTGAGGGGCCAAGGGTCATGCAAAGGTTATGGCCATGCTTCCTCAGTTGTCAAAGTTCAGAAAACTTTTCAAATAAGAAAGAAAAACAGCCACACAAAATCTCATCCCTTTAATTGTTATATAGTCTTAATCTTAAATGATTCTCTTCACTGCTTGGTGTAAGAGTAAGGAGGGAACTGCCCTTGTCCTCTAGGGATTTATAAACTTATAGGTGACAACTGTATCCTAGAAGGTAAAACTCAAACAGTCAGAGGGCCATTTGGCAGGAGTCTGTGGAGCAGGCCAGCAGGAAGATAAACAATTGCTAACATGAGACTGTGGGAAGCAAGGAAACTGTACTTTGCTTTTGGCAACCTTTTAATGCAAGATTGGAAGAATTTAAAGCTCCCTGGTGGAATTAAAAATTTGGCATTACAAGAAAAGTAAAAAAAAAACCTGAATTTTTTTTTCTTATCTGAAGAAGGATATATTAGGATTCCTTTGGTTAAAAAAAAAAAAATCAAACTGAGATAAGCATAAAAGGATATTTATTGGCTTATATATCCAAAGATTCCAGTGTGTAGAAGTACAGTTGGATCCAGAGGCTCAAAGCGTGACACCAGTTCTCTTCCTTTTCTGCTTACCTCTCTTGGCTTCACCCTCCTCTGTGCTGGCACCATTTTCGGGTGGGATTTTTCCACATGGTGGCCATTGGCAGCTCCAGGTTAATAACTTCAGCAGGGGAAAAAAAAACAAAAAAGAGCTTGTCTTTCCCAATAGTTCCAATGTGGGATCCAGGATTGAGTCTCATTGCCCATTCCTAAACCAATTGTTGTGGTGGGGATGGGATGGAATATCCCAACTGGCCAGCCTGGGATATGAGTTCACATATGAAGGGAGAGAAAGTGGGTAGTTAGGCCCACTCAAACCACATAAACTGAGAATAGAGAAGGGATATTTCCCAAAGGAACACCAAGTGTTACCAGAAGAGAGAGTAGACCCTGTATGCAACCAAAATGCTTGTCTGCTACAGAGAGGAAATCAAGAGCTCATTTGGTTTTGAAGTATAAAGTAGGATATGTTAATAGAAGTAAGTAACTGTTCTCTGCTAAAGATTAATTAGAGAAAATAGGCATGAAGACAGTAGGAGGGACTTTAGTAATAATTTTTTTTTTTTGTCGTGGTTAAGTTTGCGTGCTGCACTTTGGCAGCCCGGGGTTGCGGGCTCAGATCACAGGCACAGACCCACGCACCAGTCACCAAGCCACGCCATGGCAGTGTCCCACATACAAAAACAGAGGACAGTTGGCATGGATGCTAGCTCAGGACAATCTTCCTCAAGCAAAAAGAGGAAGATTGGCAACAGAAGCCAGCCCAGGGCCAATCTTCCTCATCAAAAAAAAAAAAAAAACTTGCTATTTGAAATTAGACATACCAGTAATAGATGTTTTTCAGAAAAGCTAGATATAGATCAAAGTTTTATAAAGCAAATCCCATTTTCCCACTAATTTCCCTTATAAAGTCATTATATTCCTAAAAGGAAACAAATCCACTAGATTTCTGAGTTGGGAACTTCTGATGAAAAAGTAGTTATGATTGCTACAGATCTATAATGTATTGTACACAGGTCTATAATATATGATATATTGTAATATATCAGTGATACAATGTCTGCCAGAATTGCAGTTACCAACTATAAATTCGCTTTTCCTTTGGGCTCTTTCAGAATTTGGAAGCTGTTGCCTCTCTCTCCCTTAGTAAACAATTCATTTATCCTTTCTTAGCCACAGACTTTTTTCTTACGCTAGGATGTCTCTGGTTCCACTTTGGACCTCCAAGAACTTTCCCCATCATTTTGCATAATAGAGCTAACTACAAATGCAGTGTCACATTTTGCCATCAGGGAAACTACCTAATTCAGGTTCTGCCACTGCCTGAAACTCCCTTAAGAGCAGAGCTTCTGCTTGTATAAAATTGGAGGCCACATAAAGGAAGATGTGGTTTAGGACCACATGCAGAGACTTCCCAGGCTTTTTGGAAGCAATGAAAAGGTAGGTGTGGGGAGGGCAGAAAGAGGATGGGCAGACAGGTGCAGCCCTCAGCAGGTGCACCGCCTTTGTGTCTGTCTGATTTATAAGAGAACGGAATCACAAACTGTAACAGAAAATGATATGTAGACTTTGCCTGCAAGATTGTCAGGTTTAAACGGAAGAATGGTAAACTCAGATGAAAAATAATTATAGATTTCTCAAGCATTTATATTACTCCTTCTCCATCTTCTCTTTCTTAATTCCTGAAATTTATATCAAGACTATATGTTTGAATTCTTTTATTCATTCTTTCATTCAACCAGTAGTTATTGCGGACCTGCTATGTGCTGGTACTCTTCTAGGCATTGAGGGTACAGTGGGGAACAAAACAAAATCCTTGACTGCATAGAGTTCACATTCTAAGGAGGAGAGCAAGCAGTAAATAAGCAAATATATAACATGTCAGATAATATTAAGTGCTAAGAAGAAAAATGAAGCAGAGTGAGAGGGATAAAGAGTGGTAGGGGAGGGAGGCTGCCATTTTATATATGGTAAGTGTGATATTTGAACAGAGACATGATGGGGTTTTGGGAACAAGCAAGAGGCTACCTGGAGGAGGAGCAGCTAAGGCGGAGGGGGTAGTAAGGCAAAGACACTGGGCCTGAAGCAGCTTGGTCTCCTCTAAGAACGGTAAGGAGGCCAGAGTTGCTGGAGGACAGTGCTCAAGGGAGAGTGTGGTAAACGGTGAGGTCAGAGAGAGAGAGCAAAGGCAGCTGGGGGCATGGGGGCTGGTCATATTCAGGGGAGAAGGGAAATGATTGAGGGGGTCGGGCAGAAGAATCGTGGGGCCTGACTTGTTTTGGCCAGATAGTTCTAGCTCCAATGAGAGAATAGAGTAGAAGCAGGGAGATCAGTTAGGAGATTATTGAAAAAATCAGGCCAGAAATGATCAACCAGAGTGGTTGAGGTAGAGGTGGCAAGAAACATTCTCATCCCAGATGTATTTTGAAACCCATATTTCCTTCCTTCCTTTGTTTTTCGTTTCTTTTTCCTTGCTATTCTTTAGAAGTATGTAGCCATTCTTCCCCCAAGTAATGGAATTTGTATTTGTATAGTTTTGAGATTACGGGTTTATTTCTAGGTCCTGTCTTAGGTCATATCTCCCCTCCTCTCTCCACCCCTGTAGAGTTTGCTCGATATGGGGCTGGGCTCAGATAATGATAACACCGTTGCAGATTACACATGTAGGAGGTACTGGTATGATGGGAGAAGGGATCCCCAAGTACTAGGAAGAGGACCTCAAGAGCAGGATCTTCCCTACTTCTGATCAGGGACCTCAGCCGTAAGCATAGGTCTACTACTGATCACGCCCAGAATGCTCTGAAGATGTCTCCTTGTGAAAGTTGCTCTCATCATTGAGATGCACAGAGAAAACTCTTACCAGAATGGAGAACTGCAGCAGACAGGAAGCACTGCTGTGCTTTAGGCTGATATGTGGGCAGGGACAATACTAGTCATAGAGCCTTCGAGTCTCAGACTTGGCAGGCTCCCTAGAGGGCATTTAATCCAGTCTTTTACTGCTGCTGTATGAATCCCTGCCGTGATATTTAATCATCTGGCCTCTGCTTCGAGTCTAGAATCCATAGATCGTGGAATGTCAGCACTGGAAGTGATCTTAGAGATCATACAGAGCTGAGACAAGACGAGTCCAGGGGTCCGAACTACCAGACCCATTTTTTTCCACTCACTATGTTGTCACTCTAAATAGAGGGCGGCCCTTGCTGGTAGAATTACAGAAGTGGGTTTATATGTCTGTGTTCGTCCCATCACAGCCTGTCTGGATTTATCTGCCTTTCAGTCCTAAATAGTAATGGATCTTTTCTTTTTATTTTCAACCCCAGGGATTGCCCTGCTCTCAGATGCATACCCTGAGAAAATCTTGCTTGGCCTGTTGACTCAGTATGACAGTGGTAAAGACAAGCACACTCCGGAGACCAGAATGAAAGTTGGAGAAGTCCTGATGCGAATTGTCAGGACGTTAGGTGAGTTTTCTTGTTCCATTGTCTGGAACAGGGTTGGGGAGCAGTATGGTGTTGGACCCAAAGTTTGTGTACCTGGAGGCTCATTATGCTAGCAAGGTGAGGATGGTTTAGAGGCTGGGATGAAGTACTTCCTCTTCAAGAATTTAGCAAATATCCAGATGCCCACTAAGAGGTTGGCAGCAATAGTACCCATTTTCCTACAACTGCTCTCAGGGGAAGAGACTAAGCTGTGTTGGGGCCCTGATTTTCTTCGGAGCTGGAATGAGAAGATTCACACTTGCTGAGCAGCAGCAAGCATAAAAAGAAGAGGAATGTCAGACAGGGAAGGAAGGGTGCTCTTGTTGAATGGCTACTGTGTGGCACGTTGTCTACATATATAATCTCATCTAATTTTCCCAAAACATCCTAGAAAGAGGCTGTTGTTAGACTCGTTTTAAAGATGAGGAAACTGTGGTGCAGAAACTTTCAGCAATTTGTCCAAGACTCATTCAGCTGGTAAATAGTAGTGCTAAAAATTGCACCCACCAACTCAAAGGAAGTTGCTCAAAACTACACAAGCTGAGAGTAGTAAGAGCATGGGCTCTGGAGTCACCCTGCCTGGGTTCAAATCTCGAACTTCTGCTTACTGGCTACGTGGTCCTGGAATGTTTCTTAACCTCTTGGGGCCTCAGTGTCCTCATATACAAAGCGAGGATATTAATAGCACTTCCCTCCTAGGGCTGTTGTAAGGATTAGGTAAGGTAATGCTTAGAATACTGTTTGCACAGAGTATAGGCTCAACAAATTTTTACTTTTGCTAAGTAAAGAAGAAAGATGGCTTTTTTAAAGAAAAGAAATGCTTTATTATTTACTATTTATTGAGTGCCCATATGGGGCTAGGAGGTGGGATACTGGGGAGCAAGGACGAAGAAAACAGTTATTCACTCTAAAAACAGGAGTTAAATTAAGATGAGCTAATGAATTTCTCCATAAGTCAGTAAGTACACTTTTGATGTTTTTATATTGGGCCTTATAACATAGAATTGAGGGAGTTTCTGTAACCTGCATTCCATAAATTTAACCATTGACTGCCACACTGAATATAGATATCTTGAAGCCTTAAAATTAGGCAAGCCAGTCATTCAGGTGTGCACCAGTGGTGTACAGTATCCATTGAACCAACCAGCTGCTGTGTTGAATTTTGAGAATTAAGTTATGTTTTGGGGCTGTATTCTTACCATGTATGTCCTGTATCAGAGTGTGTTATGAGATATACTGTCAGTTGTTAATATTTTGGCTTAAAAACAATGCCACATTTAACTGGACTTCTTTCCTTCTTTAAGCTAAATCAGCTCTCTCCTCAGGTGCTGATATATTTGTCCTTGGCTTTTTAGTAATTCCATCATCTATCCACTAGCATGTTACCTAAGGCAGAAAGGGAGGTGATCTCACCTTCAGTTTGGCTAATTTTTCTGTGAGCTATAGTAAAACTGATAAATTCTACTCTTTACCCGCTGGGGGAGGATTTAGGAAAACAAATTAGCTTTTTGACACTTGCATCAAGAAATCACATTGAATTCTTCCTTCACCAGCATTTCAACAGATTTACAAAGATTCCACATAGCCGTGCATCATTTCTACAGACATAGCCCTTAATTTTCCTAATTTCTGGGAGACTCTTCTGACTAAAGAAGATAGAACTTAGATCTCCAACCTCTTAAATCCTTTCATCAGTGAAAGGAGAATCTCATGAAAGTGAAATTTAAAAATATTTTATTCTACTCTGTGAAGAAAGACCAACTTTCTATATTTGCCTTAGTCTTAAATATGGGTGTGAAACATACCAGACAATTGCACCATTATAAGAAATCTTTCTCTCACAATAGATGTGAATGTTAAGCTTAAAGTATCACAGGATCGAGTGCAACCTCTGGCTTGTGTGTGAGTCATTGGGGTTGTCAGAGCTGAAAAAGAATGAATAGACATCAACGTAATGTGTATTTTCTCTGTAATTCTGGTAGACCTCTACCATTGGGATGATGAATGCTGAAAATGCACATTTCTCAGTCTCCACTAGCCAGTCCAGATCATTTCCTGTGGTGAGAGTGAAGGTAGGGATGAAGGACTAGGTTGAGTGAGAGAGAGGCCTTACTCCTCCTTACATATTCCTATAATTAGCACAATTTCCAAAACAGTCTTCTGGCATTTCAAAGCAAATTCCATCCATTCTCAAAGTTGTAATCTTTCTGTAGCCTACTCTTCCAAGTATCTAGCCGTAAACACTCCCCTAGCTTTAACTGCTACTTTCTCATTCACATTACCAACTTGTCCAGGTGCGTAGATGAGGTGGCTTGTTGAATCCTTTAGGTGAAATTAAAGCCCATTTTTACAACGTCGCCAGTATTCTTAGTTTACTAGTGGTGTGGAAATCCTTGTGAACAGCCACTTTGTAAAGCTGCTTTAATAAGTACCCTAGTGTCGTTGGCCCAGGCCTTGCTGTCTCCCCACCCTCAGCTCTTCAGCAGGGGGAGTTCCATGGGAGAACAAGGCCCATGGGTGGGAGCCGGGTGCGGTGCACTACTGCTCCCTCTTGGCATCACTTCTAGTTCCCTAACCATACCTACTTTTCTTCCTGTCATTAGACAATGGTGAAAAATCAGCAAGAGCTTTTTTTCTTTCCATTTTTAAAAACTGAGGTATCACATACATACAGAAAAGTATATAAAGTACACTAATTTTAATAGTATAGTCATGTGTGACTTAACAATGGGGATACGTTCTGAGAAATGCGTCATTAGGCTATTTCGTTTCGTTGTGCAAACATCATAGAGTGTACTTACACAAACCTAGATGGTATAGCCTACTACACATCCAGGCTATGTAGTACTAATCTTATGGGACCACCGTTGTATATGCGGTCTGTTGTTGACCGAAACATCAAGACCGTATAGTTTTATGGTTCTTTACATATTTACCACCACCCAGGTCAATACATACAAATTTCTAGTAACTCAAAGTTTCCTTTTGTCCCTTTCTAGTCTATACTTGCCCCAGAGGTAAGTACTATCCTGACTTTTTATCACCATCGATTTATTTTGATTGTTCTCGAACCTCATTTTAATGCAATTAAATCCTCATGTTTCTAGTAAGCTGATAGATCAGGACACTTGGGTAAATTTAGGTCAAATTTTGGGGGGGGGCAAGAATATTTCATAGGCCATTCTGTGTACTGTATTTCCTCTTGTTTCATGTTAGGAGGCACATAATGTCTGGTTATCTCATTTTAGTGATGTTGAGTTTTGATCAGTGGTGTTTCCAGTAGGATACATCCATTATAAACTTCCCCATCATCCTTCCTCTTAATGGTTTTAAGTAACCATTGGTGATTGTTTAACCATTGGTGGTGTTGTGTAGATCCATTATTTCATAGGGGTTACATTTTTTACACAATGGGAAACAGATACAGAGAGGGTTACTAACTTGCCTAATGTCACACAGCTAATTAATGGTGTACCCAGAATTTGAACCCAGACAGTCTGACTCCAGACCCAGTCTCTTGCCCAATACACTGTTGCATCCTGAACATTTTCCCTTGTCATTAAGTATCTTTTTCCTCTCATTAACATGGACATTTTCCACATGCTCTATAATTTTTAGTGATTGCATGATAATATATCATTTGAATGTACCATAATTTTTTTCAACTGACCAACTTATAGGTTGTTCCAGTTTTTCACTATTATGAATTACATTGAGATGAATATTCTTGTAGCTAAATCTTTGTGCAGATCCATGATAATTTCCTAGGAAAAATTTCCAAAAGTAGAATTTGTTAAAAAGCACATGCACATGTTTTTTCTTTTTCTTTTTCTTTTTTTTTGTGAGGAAGACTAGCCCTGAGGTAATATCCGATGCCAATCTTCCTCTTTTTGCTGAGGAAGATTGGCCCTGAGCTAACATCTGTGCCCATCTTCCTCTACTTTATATGGGACGCCGCCACAGCATGCCTTGATAAGTGGTGCATCGGCACACGCCCAGGATCCGAACCTGCAAACCCCAGGCCGCCAAAGCAAAGTACTCGCACTTAGCCGCTGCGCCACCGGGCCAGCACCCAAGTGTGCATATTTTTAAAGATATTTATCGCTAACTAGTCTTCCAGAGAGATGGTACCAGTTTATATCGCAATATTTGAGAATATTTGTTTATACCTTAATCAGCTCTATATATGCTCGATATTATCATTTTTATCAAGCAGATATGTAAAGAAATTCTTTCTTGCTTTTATTTCCATTATTCAATTGATAAGTTAAATATTTTTCATATATTTATTGGCTACATTTTTTTGTGTGTGGAGGGCATTTGTGTGTGTGAATTGCCTCTTCTCGTCCTTTTTCCATTAGGGGATTAATTTTGTTATTTGATTTATAAAAGCTTTATATATTTAAAGATCTTGAACCACTGACATTTATGTTGTAAATATTTTCTTAAGGTTGTCATTTACATTTTAGTTTTGTTCATATTCTCTGTTTCATTTTGATTTTAAAAATGAAAACACAGAAGTTTTTTATTTTGATGTAGGCAAATCTATTTTTCTTTATGGTTTCTCTCTCATATAGAAAGGCTTTCTCAAACCAACATTATCTTAGTATGAATCTATATATTTTAATCTCTACTTTTCAATGTAGAAAATATTGTGGAAAGATTTTGGTTTAGTTTCTTTTATTTAAGGAACTATTTCGTTTTTTAATGTACTTTTAGAAATTTAATCTTAACACATTGCTAAATTACCAGTCACTCCAAATGTTTCTCCATCTGTTTCCTCTTACATGTCCCAGTGTCGATGTTGACAATAACCTATGGACTGTTATATGTCATTGCGTTTTTTGAAACTTCTTTTAAAGATATAACATTAAATTATCGTGCCCAAGATTTTGAATTGGTAATTGGGACACTACTTGACAAGTAGAATGAAAACAAAGGGGATTGAATCTGGGGGAGTATTTCCTTCTTTCCTTGAGGCT